AAGTGGGATTCTGGTGACTTTACTGTGATTGCACATTGGTTCATTGTGTGTCACTTTACCAAACCCTTTTGGAAAGACCGTGGACACCAAATCAAAGGCACTACCCTCACAAACCCTCTGTTACCTTGTCAAGAAACTCAAGCAAGTTACTTAAACTTTATTTGCCTTAATAGATTTGTTCTGCCTTTCCTTAATTAACCCAACATGCCCACTTCCACCCTCAGGGGACTGCCCTGGTGGAGTTTGCACATTCTCCACTTGTCTGTCTTGGTTGCCTCTCACAGTGCAAAGATGTGCAGGTTAGGTGGATTGGTCATGCTAAATTACCCCATAGTGTCTAAGGATGTGCTAGCTAGGTGGCTTAGCATGGGAATGATAGGGTAGCGAGTGGATCTGAGCACTGCCCCCCTAAATGTTTCATTTGTTACAATCCTCATAGAGATTGATAACTTTAACTTTAAAAAAAATAAAAACTTTGAATGGATGGTGCAAAATTTCACGTTTAAGACAACTAAGCACTGTTTTTGTAGGCAGCTACACTGTAAACTACAGAACAGAACATTCCTCTTTTACTTCAACTACAGCGGAAAATCCAATTCATATATAAAGTTTATACTGACTTTTAAGTATTTATTTGACTTTCCCAATCCCAGTCCAATGCTCTTCTTAGCTTCCAAAGCTTTACTTCCATTCTTTTTCCAACTTGGTAACCTTTAACCACAGAACTGTCATTCACAGTAAGTATTCTTCCTGGCACTTCTCCCTCTACCACAAAGTTGGTCCATTTTCTGGGTGCAAGACTTTATGAAATTTTGATCTATTCAGTCTGAGCATGGTATCCCACCTATGTTCCTGTATGATGGGCCATGGAGAATATGGGCATCTGGCTAGCTCTCTCCCTTCTGGATCTTGGCAGACCAGCACTGTCAGTGTGGTTCAGTGCTATGTTGGAAAACCTTCTCCTCACAAAACCCATCCCATCAGATGAGCCTTAAACCCAGGTAGAAATGCTAATGATCTATCCTTGAGACTCTGACTCTCTTTCAATTTGGCAGTAAATGGAGAGTTAAAAGCAAACTGTTTATGGACTGACTTGCTGAACACCACTGTGGGACTATTAGTCAGGCTGCTGCAATCACAGACACTGCTGCCTTGCATCCTCTTTCTGCAAACAACATGAACTGTCTTTTAAACTTTAACTGCAATGTAACCCACACCTGACGTTAGGCAGATTTCAGAACAGGTCACATTGATCCTTAATTTTTATCCTAACTTAAAGGCAGAGTCTTAGAACATTATTATATGATGTACATCGTATCTGTAACACCCTAGTGACACTTAATCCACTTGGCTCACTCCCAAAAAACAAATCGAATGCCTCCTGCTGATTAGTCTGAAACAAAGGCCTTTAATGTATGAACTCACTATCATACTTTAAGTAATCATATAAATTAACTGGAATCTTTGAGTTATTCTTACAAAACTCACACTTCAACACTTTTGATAGATCTTTAAAAGGCTTTATGTAACTTTCCACAGCATTGCCTTCTCTCCTGTTCGTAAAACAGAATTACACTTTGTAACAGCTGGAGCATGTTTGACTGGTAGCTCTGGGCATATAAAAGCTTAATGCATTTGCCTTAATTCCTTCAGTCTCCAACTTGAATAGCCACATTAAAACAAAAGGGTCAGTTCATTCATTAGATTGGTGACAAAAGAATGTCTCTTGAATATTTTCAGCATTTGTGCTCCAGTATCACACAGTTGAACTTCAAAGCCATCATGTGCTTGTTACTTACAACTTCTTGTCATGTGTTTTTTAAAGGCAAGGTTTCTATCAACAGATTAAAATGATAGAAAAATACTTTACATTCTTAATGTTGCATTGGTGAGGTTGAGACCCCTCCCATATAAGATAGATCTGAAGGCCACGTATAAATCCACTTTGCTGAAGTGACTATTTCAAGCAAATTATAAGGTCTGCATTCCTTCTTATAGACATGTTGTTGCATTCATTGCCTGGTTACCATGGTAGTGTTCCATTCGAGTTAGAATCATTTCAGCAACCCAGAAACCCATACATGGCCAAGATCAATTTTCATCGGCTTGCTCCTCCAGTATGTGCACTCTTAGCAACAAGGACAAAACAGATCACAACTATTGAACAAGATGTAGAGATGGCTGTTAGCCAATCGGATGCTGATGTCACCCCGGCGAATGTAAAAATCAACCAGATTAGTCATCTTCAGTGCCGTGCTATCTTTCACAAGCAGATTCGCTGCAATAACACATCTGATAGCTACTGCCTCATTCTTGGTTCCACCACCATCTGATAATGAGAGAACCATTTCTCTGATTTCCATTAAATAAATTGATTCATTTACAGTGGTTTTTGTCTGCTTCCATTAAACTGAAGATCCAAAGCCTCTTCTGGATTTTAGTTCTTAAAAAAAAAGATTGCCCTCATGAGAACTTTAAACAGAATCCCACAAAATCCTGCAGTGATGACATGCTGAAAAAATGAGATGCCTGACGTTGGCATAGATACAGTTCCAAAAGGTCTTAATCACTGATGTTTTCCTCACCATATATTGAGGTCTGCTGCAAACTGCTAGATAGAGTTTAATACTTTGATCAATACTGACTCTATATCATTTTATCTTGTGACTGCTTGTTGGATTTTATGCTGGCGAAATAGATCTGAATTTTTTATCAACTGACAATTCCTACAATATTCAATGTAGCGTCACTGTATTTCATAAGGGAGCTTAGTTTATAATTAAGGTAGCTGTCTCATTTCAGTTAACAACCCATTTATTTGTCTGACTACCAGTCCATCTTACCTTTGAAAAGGCTTTTAACTAAGTTATAAACAAACCACAATGGATTTCCACTACAGCCACAGAAAATTGAGGTGCAAAGTGTTTCTGGATTGGAAATTGGTTAAAACAATATGAAATGAAGTGTAGGTGTTGAATGAGGACCCACTGAGCTGGTGGTTAAAACATCTTCTTTCCAATTTACAGTACTGATGTAGATATTGCATTTCAGATTTGATGCTGACACTAAAATAGGCAGAACAGTAGGAACACTGTACCATCTTTCAGATTTATTCTTGCAAGACTCATTAATAGCAGAACCAAACCCATGACTTCTACTGCCTAGAAGAACAAGGTGTGGAGGTGCTGGTGTGGACAAGGTCAGAAGTCACATGACACTAGGTGAGTTCACCTGACGAAGGGGCAGCGCTCTGAAAGCTTGTGATTTCAAATAAACCTGTTGGACTATAACCTGGTGTCATGTGATTTCTGACGTAGAATAACAAGGGCAGTAGGCTTAATAGACTTAGAAATATATCCTTGTTCCTTTGTCATTACTGGGTCAAAATCCTACAACACCCTCCCTAACAGTGCTATAAGAGCACCTTCACTACACAGACTGAAGTGGTTCAAGAAAATAGCTCATCACGATCTTCTCCAGTGCAATCAGGGCTGTATAATGTATAAAATACAGACCTTGCCAGTGATGCACATTCACCAGGTAAGGAAAAAAAAGTGAAGAATGTAACTAGAGACTTGCCTCAGGCAAAAACCATAATCTGAGAGGTGAATGAATGAAATGGATATATCACAGACAGACTTGGAGAGGGGGCCCGGAGATAACATCAGACTCTTAACTTGCAATATGGTAAAAATGTTGGTAGAATACTAGAATGGCACAATAGTGAATACAACTCTTCAGAGATTGTATAATATGCTGGTCAGATCACACTTGGCGTAGTGCTCAGTTCTGCTATATATGCATTGGAAAGGGATTCAGCAAGGCCAGTCCCAGATCTAAAGAGGATGAGCTGTGAGGCAAGATTAGATGCAGCCAAATTCATCATGCTAAAAATGAAGACACTTTAAGAATATTCAAGCATACAAAATATGAAACGGATGAAGCTTTTCTTCATTACTTCAATACAAGCTAGGAAAGCAAGTGTAGGGAACATTATTTAAATTTTTGACAAGTAAATGTAAAACAGACAAAGAAAGAATTTACTCCAAACAGTGATAAATGTTTGGAATAATCTGCCAGGTGAGATAATAGAGAAAAAACAACTGAGAAGTTTGAAAATACAGCTGGATGCTATTATACGAAAGTTAAGGGACTAGAGAGGTGAGTTGAATGGGTCAAACAGCTATTTATCTTCTTTGGCTTTTCTCATATCACATCAAGGATGTCAGTACGTCCATTGCTCCATCTGTCTTTCTATCTCAATGAGAGGAAATAATGTGCAGTGGGTCTGCCATCATATGATTAGAGACAGGTTAACGCTTCAAATTGGCAGGATCTGCAAACATGAAACATTTACCAGACTTTTCTCTTCACGGATCCTTAGGGATGCCCTAGAGTGTGGCTGAACTAAGGTATTCATAAATAAAATAATTGTTAGCAACAATATACAGAGATAAGTTGCAATTTATATTTGCAAAGTGCCTGTTATATTTTTTAACAAGTTACAGAAAGTTTGACATAAAATAGGATTGGTTGAAAACAGGTTAGGAGTTGATGAAACTGTAATTAAGCTAAATAACAAAACCAACATTTTAACTGCATGAATATCTGTGTTTAATTGAACTTTTTTTCTCTGGTGAGGGAATTGGAGTAACCGTACATAATCTTAAAATTAGAACCAGGCAATGCAGGAAGCTCTTTCAAGCAAGGTTGAAATTGCAAACTCTGCTAAGAGGCTGTAGATGCTGGCACAATTAAAGTTTTCAAGAGATAAAGTTGCATTAGATAAGGGCATTGAGTGATTGAATGCGAATTCAGGTCATGGTAATTAAGATACAGATCATTCATAAGCTCTCTGAATGATAGAATAAGCTGAATGGCCTTAATCTGCTCCTATGTTATATCTGTCAGTGCTTTCATTTAGTTGAGGTTACGAGGAAATTGTTGCTGATGTGCCCTTTTCTTTGCTGTGCTTATGATCTGTGCTATGTCTGTTACAGGGACGCCCTGGTATGAAAGGTGATTCAGGCGAACCAGGATTGCCAGGCAGACAAGTAAGTAGCATTTGCTCTCTCGCTTTTATTTTTTCTGCAGTTACCTTACTGTGTTAACGCTGGTGAGATTGCAGTGTTAGACTTGCAACCAGATGGACTGAATTGGAAACCTAATCCAGAGAGAAACTATGACGACTGCCACAGGGAATGCAAAGGATGCTCCTTTGAGGCTGGGGTAGAATTGTGCTTGATCCTGTGTTACTTGATGGGAATATGTGGAGGGTACATTACGTTCCATCAATTCAATGCTGTATCAGTGATGGCTTGGTTAAACAGTGCAATATGAGCTTTAGTCTTATAGGTGGATCAGTTAGCTGTTTAGCTAGTTTGCAATGCAGACAGCCCCTCTAACGAGAGGAGCCCAACGGCTTGGTAAGGCGATGGTGACTTTGCCTTTAGCTCGGAATACTTGATGGCAACGTGCAGTAGATGCTTTAAATTATTTTCATTCTATGTTGCATCCAGGAGTATCTCTCAGCAAAGTGTTATGGGAGCTTGGCTTGCCCTGAATTGTGCTGTGCCTGTGAGTTTGACAAAGAACAGTCCATCCAAGCTACAGACTTCAATAGTTTGCCGAGTATGATCATTATTGTGATGCTCCATTTAAAGAAAAAATGCATCATTTCCACCATTAAACTGAAATATCTGGACAGAGTTTACATACGGGTTTTGATGAGATATTGGTAATACTTACATCATTTCAAATTGAAGAACATGTAGTACTGTCAGTTCTGGGCTTAAGTTACTATGTAGTGTGAATTCTCTCCCAAATCTTCAGGATTTCTGAGTCAGCACACTTACCAAACAGATTTTGGTTCTTTTTACACGTGGTGAGAGTCTAAAAGGCTTCCTTTACCAACACTCCCTGGTCTATCTTAGCTTGTGGCACACCACAAATCTTGCCCTGGTTCCTGCCAATGTTTCAGACTTTACCCTATGGCAATGTGCTTCTCTGAGTCTATTTCTTGTCCCACCCAGAATCTCACTCTCAAATAGGTTTTGTGTCCAAACTCTTTCTTGGCAAAAGCTGACTGAGACAACTGATACTGAACATTTTCTAGAAAGGTGGTGAATTCCTTTCAAAATGCCATAAGGAACAAGGGCATTTGACCCTTTGAGCTTGTTCTGCCATTCATAGTATCATAAAGTTGTACAGAACGGAAACAGACCCTTTAGTCCAACTTGCCCATGCCAACCAGACATCCTAAATTAAAGCCAAAAGAACTGCGGATGCTGTAAATCAGGAACAAAAACAAAGTTGCTGGAAAAGCTCAGCAGGTCTGGCAGCATCTGTGGAGGAGAAAATATCTCTGACTCCTCCCTTCCCTTCCTCGACATTTCTGTTTCCATTTCTGGGGATAGACTGGCCACTAATATCCATTACAAACCCACTGACTCCCACTGCTACCTGGACTGTACATCCTCACACCCCACTTCGTGCAAAGACTCCATCCCATTCTCTCAGTTCCTCCGTCTCCGTCGCATATGTTCAGATGAGGCCAACTTCAACAAGGGAGCCTCCGAAATGTCCACATTCTTCCTCAACCGAGGATTCCCCAGCTCTGTTGTAGACAGGGCCCTCAATCGGGTCCGACCCATCTCCTGCACTTCTGCCCTCATCCCTTCTCTTCCCTCCCGCAACATCGATAGGGTTCCCCTTATCCTCACCTGTCATCCCACCAGCATCCACATCCAGAAGATCATCAGACGCCATTTCCGCCACCTCCAGCAAGATGTCACCACCAGACACATACTCCCCTCCCCTCCCTTGTCCGCCTTCCGCAGGGACCGTTCCCTCCGGGACACCCTGGTCCATATTTCCTTCACCCCCAACACCTCCCCACAGCCCTACGGCACCTTCCCCTGTAACCGGCGAAGGTGCAACACCTGCACTTTTACCTCCTCCCTCCCCAGTATCCAAGGCCCCAAACATACCTTCCAGGTGAAGCAACACTTCACCTGCACTTCCAAGAATCTAGTTTACTGCATTCGCTGCTCACAATGTGGTCTCCTCTACACTGGGGAAACGAAGCGTAGACTTGGCGACCACTTCGCAGAACATCTACGTTCTGCTCGCAAAAAAGACCCTGAACTACCTGAGATAACAAGATGTAGAGCTGGATGAACACAGCAGGCCAAGCAGCATCAGAGGAGCAGGAAGGCTGACGTTTTGGGCCTAGACCCTTCTTCAGAACTACCTGTTGCCTGCCACTTTAACACACCACTCTGCTCCCTGGCCAACATCTCTGTCTCTGGCTTGCTACAGTGTTCCAGTGAAGCCCAGCGCAAGCTGGAGGAACAGCACCTCATTTTCCGCTTGGAGACCCTACAGCCCTCCGGACTCAATATTGAGTTCAATAATTTTCTTCCATGTCCCAGCCTCCCACCCCACATACCAGGCCTTGTTACCACATAGCCTGCCACTACACACCTCCTGTTGTTAGTCACTAACAGTCCCCATTAACAACTATTCACCCTCCCAGCCTGATCGTTAGCAACTCCTTTGTCTGTCTAACTGTCTTTCTCTCTCTTTGGGCTCTATCGTATCGTTTACACCCTACCCCCATCCCACCTCCCTATTTTCTGCATATAAACTGACATTTTCCCAGCCACCATCAGTTCTGAGGAAAGGTCACCGGACCCGAAACGTTAACTCTGTTTTCTCCTCCACAGATGCTGCCAGACCTGCTGAGCTTTTCCAGCAACTTTGTTTTTGTTAGACATCTTAAATTATTCAACAAGATCATGCCTGTTCCCAGTGGGCCCTTAAGTCCTCTTTCCTGTCTGCCTGTCCCATCTATCCTTGACACACTTGAGGCCCACAATCTAATATTCTGTGATTCTTTTTCTGAAATTCTTTTCAATAAGAAAACCTCCAGATTGGATAGGTGGAAGCAGTAGTCCATAATCCTCTTTTTGTCGACCGTCTTAGAGTCCACTTCAGTCTTTTGGCATCCAATGCAATAAGAAACAGAGAAGTCTGGAATACATTATGGATATTGTAAATATCAATATAACTTAAAAGGGCACTGAGACTGCTGAACTTTTTAAAATACATTTCATTTACAAGTCAGTCCACATCTATGAGGGTCACAAATGGAACAATATGGAAGAATGGTCGGATGCCATGCGTCTAGCAGTTTATTTTCTGAAAAAAGATGGCCCTTTAAGAGTTTGTTTGAAATGCAATTTACAATGTAGGTGATATCAGGACCCAAGATACAAGGATAGGTTTGTTGTTTTGTACTTCTGCAAGCTAATGATTAAAGACAGATGAGGGTGAATTGGGATATCAGTATCTGACTGAAAACTTTGTTTGTTAACAGGGACCACCTGGTCGTGTTGGCTCCCCAGGTACACCAGGATCAGAGGGTCCAAGGGTAAGTACTGTTTTAGTCATTCAAAGCGCATAGGTCTCAAAAGAAGTGTACATTTTCTACACGAATGTGTGTCCTATCCTACAACACTGGCTACAATTTTATTTCACCAGCTGTAAAACACCTTGAGCCATCCAATGATTTTCAGAAGTACTTCTTGTATATGTGCATACTTAAAGGCAGAGTATAGTAGATGCTCTGAAGTATATTCATATAAATTGCAAGCTTTTTCTTTATTAGTTGCTATTGCAGTATGAGGGCAGCCTTCATATTTTCCTGGGACATATCTAGGGTGGTAAGAAGCCCTATGTGATAACCCCTACAAGGTCCATGGTGTGTGGGGGGCAAAGAGAAAGCAGACCCAACTTTTAGTTATTTGAAAAAATCTTTTGTTGTGTTTTTAGTTGCACTTCAGCTGTGCGCTCCTGATATTTGGGCACCCATTGTGGAGGGGTGTGGGCAGATTGGAGGATCTCCTCGTGGGTCTGCTCCTGGGCTTGGCCAGGCTGGTTGTAAACAGGTCCAGGCAGCGGTCTGTAGAGGGGGTCATCTCTGCCAACTGACTGCCCCTTTTCCAAAGTTCTGCTCATGCCTGGTTGTCATTGAAGAGGAAGCATGTGGTGTCCATCAGTGTTTTCAATGCCTTTAGAGAGAGGTAGGCTGTGCAGGGGATACAGTGCTTTATTTCCCCCTCCAATTCCATTTTGATTTAGCCCCTTCCCTACCTTCTACCTCACTTGCGTTGCAATATTGGACTTTGCTTGTAAATTTCTAATTGGCTGCATGGGTGATTTACTGTTGGGGGTTAATGGTTAAAAAAAGTCACGGTGATTTGATGGTGGGAAAGTCATTCAGTTATGTGTGATAACACTTCCAGATTTCAATAATCAAAGCAGATTTAAAGGGCTATTGTGATCCAGTGGTACTGTTTATACCTCTCAGCCAGGTGATCCATATTCAAGTCCTACCTGGTCTAGAGGAGTGTGTTGAATTTCTAACTGTTGATGTGGTTTTTATTAGATTTCCATTGTGATGAGTGTTCTTGGATGTCAAAGGAAGAAACCTAGGTGTCCTGCTCCTGATTGTGCCCAGTGGGTTCCCAGACAGAATATTTGAACATTGGACTTTTGCTGAGTTGTTCTCCAGGTGACAAGCAGTCCTCTCTGTCACAGACAAGCCTCAGACCTGAAGACTGGGCACTGAGGTGAAGCACCAAAAACTATCGGATAGCCATGGATCATATCTACCAGGAATGGTGCTTTCAGGAAATTAGGGTTAGGGCTAGGAAAGTGAGATGAACCCAGTGTAACAAGCAAAGCAATCATGAGTAATCATTCTTCATTCTGTCATTTGCACCCAACCTACAAACAGTGTTCAATGGGTTAGATTGGGACTCCTGTTAACGATTTGGTCAAGGAACATTTGATATGTTGTGCAATCCATAGCCACAGTTTGATCATCATTGGCAAGCGTGACATCCTACTTACACAAAGTAATCTCCCACAAGTGATAAAAACATGGATAACCAGTTGCTTTATATTCTTTGTATTATGATTCGTACAAGAAGAGTGACAGTTAATCTTCATTCAGTGATGATAAAGTGGCCTAACATCTTTAATCAAAACAGCAACGGGAAGCCAATAAGATGAATAGCTTCTAGTCATAAAATCCAGGCCAGAATTTTTAGCATTTACAAGAACAAGTAAGTGATATAAACAGAAGTTGCTGGAAAAGCTCAGCAGCTCTGGCAGCATCTGTGGAGAGAGATCAGAGTTAATATTTCAGGACCCAGTGACCCTTCCCCACTAGACCCGAAACGTTAACTCTGATTTCTCTCCACAGATGCTGCCAGAGCTGCTGAGCTTTTCCAGCAACTTCTGTTTTTGCTTGTGTAGATTTGTTGCTGCTGCTACTTTGACAGGCCTGGACTGCTCAGTGGGTGAAACTTTAGCCAATTGGTTATCAGGCATTCAAACATCTGGCATTGGAAAAGGCTGGGCAGAGAAGGTTCCCCATTTGGGATTCCTCTTTTTTTGTTTTAACCCATCCTTGTGATGGAATGTGCTTTATTTGGAGCAGATTAAAAAAGTCTGGGGAGGCACAGCCTAGTGGTATTATCACTGGACTGTTAATACAGAAACCTAGGTAATGTTCTGGGGACCTGGCTTTGAATCCCACCATGGAAAATGGTGGAATTTTAATCCAATAAAAAACTGAAACTAAGAGTCTAATGATGACCATTGTCAGTTGTTTGGGGGACAAAAACCAACTTGGTTCACTAATGCTCTTTAGGAAGGACCTCTAGCCTACATGTGACTCCAGACCCAAAGCAATGTGGCTGACTCTGAACTGACCTCTGGGCTATTAGGGATGGGCAATAAATGCTTGCCCACTCAGGAACACCCTCAATGATGGCCCACTATGAATGAAGTAAAAAGAAGTCCCACTTAACAAGACCCCCTGATAGCTCATTTGTGGAACTTGCGGATTCTAGCTGACTGGTGTCAGGTCTGTGCCACCAGACAGTTGAATTAAAATTTTTCGGAGGAGCTGCGTGCTTAATGCAAAAAGATACATTAACTCTGATCTCTATCAAAACTGTATTTCTTTCATATTACAGGGTTTTCCAGGTAAACAAGGACCAATCGGACCTCCTGGACCACGAGGACCCTCTGTAAGTCATATCATCAGAAAGAAATACTGCTGTTCAATGTCTTTAAACAATGTTAGGCATCATGAACAATCGGCATACAAACAGTGTTAGTTTAAAGTTTCACTGCACACGTTCTTTACTAAAACTCAACATCAAGGACAGAAATCTTGGAATGACGAAAGGTTTTCCTTTGCACTAAATCAGATTAAGGAACAGTAAAGTCACCATAGTCCCTGACATCTCTGTTATTAGAGAGAGACAAGTAGTGAGTTTAACCTGAGGGTCACCATGTCTTCATTACCTCTTACTCTCGCTCATTTATTTAATCTGTAAAGTGACAGAAGTTTACAGCACAGTAGGAGCTATTTAGTCCATAATGACATTAGCTGATGAGAGAACAATTGAAAACCAGTCCCATTGTCACGAGGACCTGTATCACCTTCTGCATTAAATGTTTATACACTTTTGTTCTGAAAGATACATTTCACTGTGCCTCTTCCATTCCCTGCAGTAGAGTATCCCAAGCTCACAGCATCCATTTGACTCTGTACAAATTTGCATCGAGAAGATAGGATAGAGTTATGGTGACAGACTTTATTCACTGTCACAGGAAGTTGAGATGGAGACTGTGTGGAGGGGGACATGTCAGGTTAAGTTTGTTGTGTCGGGGGATGTCGGGCTGGGATCCAGTCAGGGAAGTTGGGGTCTGACAGTGGGAACGGTTGTTGGTTGGGAGAGATGTCAGTTCATGCAGTGGGAGGGGTTGGCCAGGCTGGTGGCAGGATAGAAGGCTTTGGGGGTGGGGGTGGGAGTTGGGGCATGGTGTTGACAGGTTTCTCAGGATTAAGCCCGAGGTTGAAACGATATACAAGTTGGAATCAGTTTAAGGCAGGACAGAGGATTTGTTCGGTGGGTGTATTTGAGGTTTGGGGTGAGTCAGTGATGAGTTGGGGGCTCAGTTTAATAGTTATCCAGCAGTTATCTTGCAGAGGAGCGAATCTGCAGAATTCTTTACCACAGAGATCTATTGAGGCTGAGTAATTAAGTATAGTCAAGGCTGAGAGATAGATTTTTAATCAGGAGGTGAATTTAGGGTTATAGGGAAGAGGGACAAAATTGGAATTGAGAATTATCAGGTCAGCCATGATCTCATTGAATGGCGGAGCAGAATCGATGGATCAAATGGCCTATTTCTGCTTCCATGTCTAATGGTCTTATGTCCAGAGTAAGTTTTTAATCCTCTAACTGTACGTGGGTGACGATTAAGCTTTAATGAGTTAGAATACTCTGAATTCTTCAGTGGGATCTTCTGGAAGAAAGCAGTCACAAGGGAGTAGCCCACCAGAAAATCAAGTTTCTTGGGCAATTCCCACAGTCAGGGATCCCACATGGTCCTGTTGTGGAACTTCAGTCTACACTGCTTCAATGACTCTCTGGCCATCAGAATATCTAGGCCAATAAAAGTTACAAAGACAATGCTGGAATACATATCTCCAATGTAGAGATAGACTCGCCACAGGTTCAGGAGGACAATTGCCTATGTTTGTGTGCACATACAAGCTCAGAAATCATCAGAAACTCAAGATTCAACTTAGGCAGGGTTGTGAAACAAGCATAATGAGTTGGACACCCCTCCCATAACACACCTGATTTTATCTTTCCACTGACTTCAACAGAAAGGACAATTGAGCAGCTTGTACAGCCAGCTTTCCATCCACTGTGAGATGGGGCGTTATTACTCCATTGTGTTATTTAGAGCATTCAATTACCACTGCCTTTACTTCACCTTTAACGTTAATTCTATTCCTCTGTCGGCATGATCACCCAGCCCTTTAGAGATAAAGCTAACTATTTTATGTGTACGCCTTGCACACCATTGCTGAAATTACATTACACCAGTCTTTATACTGGATCCAGTCCACTGAATTATGTCACAAGTTAAACAGATAATGCAAGGAGTCTGGCTCACATTCAATCCATGATGCCATTGTTGGAACACTCCTATCACAGGGAGTGAGGAGAGAGAAAAGGACATCACTGAACTTGTAATTCCATTCAACAGTAACACGAACCAAAGGAGCATAAGGAATCTGCCACTTGCCAGCATTCCAAGGGCTATTGTCATTGTTACTGTGGAGAGACAGGAGTCAGAATTGGTACTGGTGACCACATTCCCAGTGTTGACCACATGCGAACACATGTAGACACTAATTGTATGATTGCAGTGCATTAAGTAATAGCCTTGAAGGCTGTCAGATCGTGCTTCTGTGGCTATTTAAAGAAAACCAATATAAGGGAAAATTCTCCTTACTATCATCTTCAGAAAACCTCCCAGCTACAGATGCATCTAATGAACATACGAGTTTAGGTCGCTGTGATCAATGGACAGATTTTGCAGTGAAGTTCCACCTTCACAGCGGACACTCCCTACCAAGCTCTGTGGCATCCGAACTGTAGAATTATAGAAGTACTATCATGGGGATAGAGGCCATTCAGCCCATTGAGTCTATACAGACCTTCTGAAGAGTAACCTTGCATTTCCCATGGCTAATCCATTTAACCTGCACATCCCTGAACAATACGGACAATTTAGCATGGCAAATCCACACAACCTGCACATCTTTGAACTGTGAGAGGAAACCTAGACAAGTAATTCAGAGAATGGGAGTTCAACATCTACCTTAACGATCTAAGAGTTTGAATTTAGTTTTCAAAGGAACATGATGTGTTGCACATAGCTGCTTGCAATGAATCCACATGGTGTTTTTCTCAGTTCAATATCCTTTCGAAGGCAAATAAACCTCGTTTGCCAATCCCTGCTGTCTAGAAATGCAACTTCAAATGAATTTTGACATGAAATTCCACATTACTCCTCCTAATAATGACCTCAATCTTCACCATCTCTGACTCATCAGAGAATTACACTTGCTGAGCTACTTTTGACAGACATAACTGTCTATCTTTACTAGACTAGAATTTAGAGGGCCATGAGGATTGAGACTGGCTGGGTAGCTGATGCAGACATAATGGGTCGAATGGCCTCCTTCTATACTGTAAAATTCTATGTAGTGCTAATTATAGACGTTAAAGTATGACAAAGTATTTGTTTTTCTTTATTTTTAGGGCACAGTTGGTCTTTCTGGCCCTCCAGGTCAACCAGGTAGTCAAGGACCAAAAGGTGAAATGGGATCAGTGGTAAGTGATGAACTTAACAAATTCAAATTAATATAATGAAGGGATGTAATATTTGACAATTGGAGTCTGTGCTATCTGTTTTTCTTACCTTTACAATTGCATAAGGATCAAGCCCCTAGGCAACAGAGGAGAAGAGAATATGTGCAATCCCATATTGTTTTTCAAAGTCAAGCTGTGTTCTGTTGATAAGAGAATGAGGATGAGCATGTAGAAAGTTTTTTATTGGAGTATGGAGCTGTTTTTGGTGCACATGCAAAATCAAGTCAAAATCTATCAAGCCATGGGACATTGATGCCATCCCCATGTGCATAATTTTACCCATGTGTACGGTCCTGCGGTTTGGGTTTGGGTAATTTACAAGCAATACACCACTTCCTATTTTTTCCAACTGAAGCATGCGGAAGAATGAAAAGCCAAAATTCCTCCTCAGTATTGCCCAAATGACACCAGGCTGTATTGCTGCACTATTGCATTGGCACTTCTTCTCAAATGCTTTGCAAAGTTAATTTTACAGTACGGTTGTTATTGATGCAGCCATGCCCAGTGGTTGAGCAATGAAATATTTTCTTTTCCAGTACAGAACTAAACCTCATCCTTTTCTCCTTCCCAATATTAATCATTGAGGGCTAATTTAGGTCGTCAACGTGCACATCAATCAGTTGATGGCATTTAAGGATAACTTTAGATTTGAGAAACAGTATGGACATTAGTGTGCTAATGTTTAACAGATTAACATAAATTTCCACTGCCTGCTATTTTAATGGAGATGTTAACTTTCTTTTAAAAATTCCCCACATGGGGATCTTCAGATCAACCCCCCATTAAACATTCAGACACTAATATTTAACATGGTATTTTCAAAGTCCTTATGATTCTCGCTGTTGACTGTTTCAAGCTGTGTGTATTCAATGATTTGAGCTGGTTCCTGACTTACCAATAAATTAAACTCAGATGTGACCTCAATGTTATAGTCTTTACACTAACATTTTTATGTGACTAGTCTTATTTCTAACAAATCCTGATCCAATCTATATCAATGAAGTCTTTCCTTATGACTTCAGTTTACTCTGACAGTTCTTAGTCTAGATTTTTAACTGTCTGTACAATTTAGACCAAGTTGACTCTCTTGTCAGCAGACACAAATAGAAATTTGAAACAAAAACAGAAACTGCTGGAGAAACTCAGCAGGTCTGGCAGGATCTATGGAGAGAAAGCAGAGTTAACATTTCAAGTCCAGTGACCCTTTTTCAGAACTGATAACTTTCCCACCCGCCATCAGTTCTGAAGAAAGGTCACGGGACTTGAATATTAACTCTGCTTCCACTCCACAGATGCTGCCAGACCTGCTGAGTTTCTCCAGCAATTTCTGTTTTCATTTCAGATCTTCGGCATCCACAGCTCTTGATTTTATTTTTAGATAAGTGGAAATTTGTTACTTTTGCAAAATTTTCCAAAGCCAGCTCATGAGTGTAACCTCAAGTGAAAAATTGGATGAGACTAGTAAGTGTACCAGTGGTATGAACGGTGAATGGAAAATTGTGTGCTGAAGAAATTTAAGGGGTCAAGAACAGAGGACAAAATCTTGAAATATATCAGACAGTCTCAAAGAAAATCACATAATGGCTGTTGTCAAGACTGAGGGGGCAGGGGATTAAGAAGAAGTGGATAAAAATGAGGAAAAGGAGCTACTGAGGTGGAAACATGAGCCTATGGGAAGCAACAATAGAAATGATATTGCACAATGTGATTGTGAGGGTGGCATTTTGTCCTCTTTTATCGTGCCAACTGGAGGTATAATCAAGATTTATCCTCCAAGGTAAGGACCGATGCTGCTGGACATACCAACTTCAGGATATGTGTTAGGGATACACACCTTTCAGCAGGTCCTCCCGCAATGCTTTGTGAAACAGGGTCTGAGAAGTTAGTTCTCTTTTTAGAGCAGCACTGTGAGCAGCTTAGGTCACCTTATCTACGAAAAGATGTTGTTTTACTGGAGGCAGTTGAGAGAAAGTTCATTTGGATGATCCCTGGTATGGAGGAACTGTCTTGTATATAAAGATTTAACCGTTGGGACTGTACTCACTGGAGTTTAGAAAAATGAGAGATGATCTTATTGGAAAGGAACAGATTCTTAAGGGGTTTGACAGGGTAAATACTGAGAGGATGGTCCCCCTCGTGGGAGAGTCTGGGACCACAGGGCATTGTCTCAAATAAAGAGGCAACAATTTAAGACAGAAATGAGGAGGAATGATTCTTTGGTATTCCTTGCCACAGAGAGCTGCAGTGGCAGACCCCTTGTGTATGTTTAAGGCTGAGATCAATCGATTCTTGATCAATCGGGGAATCAAGAGTTACAGGGAAAAGGCAGGAAAGTGGACGTGAGGAATGTTGGATCAGCCATGATCCTATTGAATGGTGGAGCAGACTTGATGGGCAGAATGGTCTCCTCCTATCTCTTTTGGGCTTCAGACTGTGAGGTGGATATGATTGGCAATTTTTGACACCAGTCAACTTAGGTAATGCAGCTTGCTCATCTCCCAGCATGCCTTTCATGCTATGATTTCATTTTTAATCACGTCGAGTTTGGGAAATGGATCTGACGAGTGATGCCAGCATTTACTGCCCAGTCAAAATATATAGAAATATGAAAATAGCCCAAACTGTAAATATTAAAAAAACAATAGTAATAAAATAAACTTTTGAATTCAACAGCTGCTTTGCATTAGGACTCTTGTTCCTTGTGGGTTAAATTATTTTTGTTGGTTGGATTGAGAAAAGCTTGTAGCTCTGCAGTACATTCTCATAGGAAAAATAGTGTAATGTTCCAGGATTTCAGACTCGTTTCCAGATATAGTTCTATCATAGAAAAATGTAGAAAGCTACATATGGGAATGTGGACTACAAATAGATCAATGAGGTTGTTTTGGCAACTTTTCATTTCCATGCAACAAAGAATTCCACACACATCCTTCACTTAAGGTAAACTCAGCACTCTCCAGGGAAGTAAACCCCTCTGAGGTCCTATTTTTAAAAAGATGGTGAATACACTTGGCTGAATTTCTCCTGTGCGATACTTGAATTGACAAATTGATTAACTTGTTCTTGAGGTTTCCCTGTGTAATGCTTTCAATGAATTCATTAACAGTTGAAGTAGATGTTCTCTGTGTAGCGTTAGTGATGATTATTGGATTGTCGGGGTGTAGCTTCCGTACATAACACTTTCAGTAAAGTGGAGGACAACTTAGGGTGTAGTAACTATTTATAATTAATTCATTAACATGTCATGGTGAACTCTGTGTGATCATTGAAATTAACTAACGAGTTGGCACAAATTTAACAAAATTTCTCTTCCCATCCTGTAAAAACAGTGATCAGAGAATACCACTCCAGTCAACACATAGAGTCATAGAGATGTACAGGATGGAAACAGACCCTTCGGTCCAACTCATCCACGCTGACCAGATATCCGAAATTAATCCAGTCCCATTTGCTGGCATTTGGCCCAAATCCCTCTAAACCCCTCCTATTCATATATCAATGAGATGCCTTTTAAATTTTGTAATTGTACCAGCCTCCACCACATCCTCTGGCAGTTCATTCCATATACGAGCCACCCTCTGTGTGAAAAATTTGTCCCTTAGGTCCCTTTTAAATCTTTCCCCTCTCACCTTAAACCTACGCCCTGTCATTTTGGAGTCCCCCACGCTAGGGAAAAGACCTTGTCTATTTACCCTGTCCATACCCCTCATGATTTTATAAACCTCTATAAGGTCACCCCTCAGCCTCCAACGCTCGTTTGAGATATTGCATGAACTGTGGCAATTCCTTGATCTGAGGAAGGGTCGCTTGACCAAAACCATTAACTCTGATTTTTCTCCATAGATGCTGCCAGACCTGCTGAGCTTTTCCAGCAATTTATGTGCTTCTTTCTGAGTTACAGCATTTGCAGTTCTTTTGGTTTTTATGCCAATTCCTTGGTCTTTTCAGCCAATGCTGTATTTAAAAGTTTGTGTTTTTTGTGGCAGGATTTTTAAAAGCTCCAGTTGCACCGGCCTGGAATACTGTATCTCTGGCCAGCAGAGAGCTACATCATCTTGAAGATGAACCATTTTTGAGAAGTTTGGGTAAAAAGTGGACACTGAGCCAACTGAAGTAATGGGGCCCAATAAGACTCCTCTCCCACAGCAACTGGACGTTTCTGGTTGAGGTGTGACCATGCCATGGTTGAAACATGGAACACCAAAAGGAGGCAGCCTCCAAACAGACTGGGCAATGTTTCCTCCCAACAACCCACTCTGGTTGTTAGTCCATAGCGGAGGCAAATGCCCACTGGTATTGTCACTAGACTGTTAATCCAGAGACCCTGGTAATGTTTAGGGGATCCAGCTTTGAATCCTGCCATGGTAAATGGTGGAATTTGAATTCAATAAGAATCCTGAATTGAGAGTCTAATGTTGACCATGAAATCATTGTCGATGGTCAGAAAATCCTATCTGGTTTACTAATGTCGTTTCAAGAAGGAAACTACTGTCCTTACCTGGTCCGGTCTACATGCGACTCGAGCCCAACAGCAATGTGGTTGGCTCTCAACCGGGCCATAACTGCTAGCCTAACCAGCAATGCCCTCGTCCTGTAAATGTATTAAAAAACACCATTTGCGATTGCTGGTTCTCCAATGGCCTGCCAGTTTTGCTGGTTTCTAAAACATGTTTCTGCTTTAACCTGGTCCACAGAGATCACTTCCAAGGCAAAACAGCCTCTTTTTCTCAATTTTGTTGCAGGGATTAGTTTCTACAACCCTGGGCTGCCTCTGTGTCATATTTAGATGATCTCTGATTGGCCATTAGGTCTTGGCATCCTCTAGTTATTAATTGGCCAATTCCACAAAATAAAAAGTCATCTGTTTCCAGCACAGTACTGAGATGGACCATCATGTCTCCACTCCAACACGGTGAATTAAACCCTTTGGCATCAAAAACATGACATTTAGAAAGATACTT